CGACAGTGGAGGCTATGTGAGGGCTCAGCATAGACACCCCCTCCCAAAGCTGGCTCAAAGATACTAGGGATGATGACTTGTTCCATCCATCCATCAGAGGCAGGAACTGAGGGTGGATCCCAGATGAGGCCACTTACCAGTGTAATAGCTGGTTGGTCCCCCTGGGACTCCCCTGGGACTCCTGGCTCTTTAGAGCAGCCCTTCTCAACCTGTGGGTTGCGACCCCTTTGGGTCACATATTAGATATCCTACATAACAGATATTTACATTATGATTCATAATAGTAGCACAATTACAGTTATGAAGTAGCAACAAAAATAACTTTATGGTTGGGGGGTCACCACAACATGAAGAACTGTACTAAAGGGTCACAACACTAGGAAGGTTGAGAACCACCGCTCTAGTCATTTGCATCTGTTTATCACTTCGTCAGACTGTCCATCACCAAGTCCTTGCTGCCACCTATGGGTGACAAAACACCGGATTTTCCCCACAGCCTTTTTCCCTTGTTGCAGCTTTCAGTAGCTGCAGTTTCCTAGTGGGGAGGATACAGCCATGTGGGCACGGTCATCAGATCCGCTGCCCTGCCCCTTGCAACACCATTCAGGGTAGTGGGCTGGTGGGGACAATGAGTTACACAGCCCAGAGAGGGGTGTCTGTGCAGGAGGCACCTCTGTAAGTTGGTCCAGTACACTCGCCCAATGAATGCTGCCATGTCCAGGAAAGGGCAGACTGGAAGCTAGGTAAGTCGGGTCTTGGGCTTGCAGAATCTGCTCATCCTGTGGGACAGAATCAGAAGCCAGTTCCAGGGGAGCAGTGCAGGGTGCTCCTCAGAAGCTGCCAGTGGATCGACAGGAGAAACAAACTATCACAGCACTTACTGGGAGGCTGCCACTGGCCCTGAGGTTACTGCTTCACATCCAGGAGAGAGGAGCTGGCTGGAACCTGGAGTTGTCTCTGGGAAGTCTGACTGTTCTCATCCCATGGAGACCAAGACAGTATAGGAAGGCAAGGTCTGGTTGATGAAGGTAAGGCAACTGGACCCTGGTCCATCAGATGAAGGCACTGGCAGTGGGAGCACGAAGGAGACAGATGATGAATACTGCTCACTGCAACCTTGGGGCCAGGACCAATGGCCAGCCTACCAAGGTCTAGCCTCTTTGCCTGGATTTTCATAGGCCACCTCTTTGGGCTTACTGTGGGGTTCAGGTAGACAGAGCAGGAACAGACACCACATCTCCAGTGGCCCTCTTGGTATCACCTCTGATCTCAGCTGTGGATGAAGGTCCCATTGCAGGTGTCAGTGACAGCAGTTATCGGTTTCTAGTCCAGGTGCAATATAACAGGTGGGTGGTTGAGGAGGTGGACACTGGACACGCAGGGCCGTTCAGTGAGGGCTGCCCTCCCATCCATTCCTTAGAACTGCACAGTGCAGTGTGCAGCTCAGTCTCATTCCACAACTGATGCCAGCTTCAAACTTCTCACTTTGCTCCCGAGTCACCCCTAAGACACTCTAGAACATCCTGATCTCAGGCTCAGCTTTGGGGATAACGCAGGACACCCCCAAACCTACTTCTTTTCCCTGTCTCCTTGCAGATGGGGTTCAAACAATTACCCAATGTCCAAATTGGAAATTCAGACATGATCTTGGTGTGTATTCACACAATCCCCACCCCACATTCAATCAAGGCTGGTGTGACAATCCTCCCGCCTTCCTACATCCCCAGCGTAAGTATCTCTCCTGTGTCAGTTCTCCCTTATTGTGGTCACTGCTATCTTCTGCCCAGACAACTACATTAGTCTGATTTCCCAAGCTCCCATCCAGCTCCACCCTGCAAACCAGTGAGGAACCTAAGCACAGGTGTACTCAGACCCACCCATCCAAGCTCTGAGCACCGCCTACCTGCCTAGGGTTGTCAGGTGTGCAGAGTCTGTGTGAGCACGAGTCAGTCTCATGATAGACTTGGGTTCTCCAACCTGTGACTGCAGAGCCCCAAGCTGCTGACACCCAGAGTTCTCAAACAAGATATTCTCCCAGCCTCTGATGACACTGCAGAGGCCTTGCCCTCTGACACACTAGTCTCAATTCAGTCCCCAGCTGATTTCACTGGTTGTCTAGAGGGTTCAGAAGATTGAATGACTTGTCCCAGATCACAAACTATAGTTAGGAGACCAACCTAGGCTGTAGTGTGGGGGTGGGAAGCAGGGTGCCACACAGCTATGACACCATCAAAAGAAATAATAATAATAAAGTTAAAGATAATCTCAACCTCAGTAATTCTAGTTCCACAGGTCCCCCCATAATCTTCCCACATCCGCTGAACACAGATGTGGTGACACATACACAAATGCATATAAATAGAAATAAAATAAATTTAGCCGGGTGGTGGCGCACACCTTTAATCCCAGCACTCGGGAGGCAGAGGCAGGCGGATCTCTGGGAGTTCGAGGCCAGCCTGGTCTACAAGAGCTAGTTCCAGGACAGGCTCCAAAGTTACTGAGAAACCCTGTCTCAAAAAACCAAAGAAAAAAAAAGAAAAAAAAAAAAGAAAAAATCAGATACACAGGAATTTTTTAAATCATTTTAATGTATTTCTAATAATCTTTGCCTCGTCTACCAGACAAACCATCTAAATAAATAGATGCTATACAGTCTCTTTTACCCATCAGTACAAAAATAAAACCGCACTTTGTACCTGCTGACTCTCCCCAGCACACATGCCCCGTCCCAATCCCTCCCAATACATTCATGTAGTCTGAACAAAGCTCGGAGCTCATTCTGTGCAAAGTGGTCTTGTGCTGAGACCTGGCGGGCGGGTGTGGTCCGCCACTTTAAGAAAAAAAACAAAAACAAAAAACTATACCACCTCGCAGACACTGAGCTCCTCCCCCAGTGGGCCGGAGGTGGGAGGAACTTGGCAATGAAATAACCATCTTACCAGATGATAACCACAAAGCCCAAACAGGCTCAAATGTGGCACTTGGAGTGTCCACACCAGAAGCTGAGGCACATCTTCACCCCAACCCACAGTGAGGAAAAAGCACTACCCGACCTCTACATTCAAATGGGTGGAGTCAAGGGAAAGATAAGCAGGTGGCCATGACTCCTCGCTTAAGTACTGGCCTTGGAGGGGGTTAGTGTGTGTAGGGGGGCGCTGTCCACTTGGACACTGTCCAGCTTCAGGCTGAGAGGAACCTGTGTAGCCACTCAAAACCTGGAGCCATTCTCCCTAGGGAGCCAGACCACAGCAGTCCAGAGTCATATGGCTGCCCTGAAGGATCCCCAGCCCAGGCCACAATCTCCTGGAGCTGGTGGGTTTCATAAAGGGTCACATGAGAGAAAAGGACACTGCCTGCTGCTACAGACAGGAGACAGCTGCCCGGAAGCCGCCTTTTCTGCCCCTTCCCCCCAGCCTCATGATCCAAGTTGTACAGGCACTTAGTCTTGTGCCCCAGGGATGGAGAACATGACATCTACCAGATGCTGTCCCCAGAATTGTGGGCCAGCAAAAAAAAAAAAAAAAAAACTTTAGTCACCCATCCCCACCTTCTCTGCCAGGAGTTGGGGCTCTTCCTGACTCTATTTCCTGGCCCACCCCAACATTATCTAGATTCAGGACCCAGGATAGAGGTGAAGCAGGTCACCACAGGAGACTGCCCCCAATGGAAGCACTGAGTTAACCCTGGACAACTGAGAATTGAGGAGGAGGGGGAGACCAGGGACTTGAGAAAAGAATGCAGACAGATACAGGGTACAGGCTCTTTGGTTTGGGAATGAGAGTCGAGGAGAGAGCCACCCTACCCTTGCTCATGCAAACTCTGTCTCCTAAAAAGACTTAGGGGCTGCTGGGACTCAGCCACATGGGTTCCTAAGGTGGCAGGGTGTGAGAGAACAATGTGACCTTGGCAAGGGAGTTGCCCCTCCTCAGGTAGGAAGGTTATCAGCCTATAGGGCACCTGTGCAAACTAGCAAACTGCCCCCTCACCAGGACCACAGGCTTGTGTGCAGCTGACTCACCAGAGCACAGTCCAATCCCCACAAGGTATGAGGGGTCATCCTTAGCTGTGTCATTCAGGTTGTGTAGGGAGGGAACACAGAAGACACGGGCTGCCCTGAGAAAGTAGGGGGACACTCCCTTCTTGACTGCCCACACCCACTGGCATCCATGGATGCCCAGGTCAACTGAGCTGCAGGAGAGGGCAGAAAAGGGGTAGTACTAAAAGGGCTGTAAAGTCACCTGAGTCAGAAAGAACATGAACTCCTGTGAAGGAGGGAAGGGCCAAGTGTCTGCGATCCTGGGTGGAAGCATCTGCACCTTGCACAAAGCCTGGTCCTATCTGTAGCTGAGAGGGATGCCAACAGGCTCAGGCTGGCCCAAGCTGTCTGATCCTGTCAGTCACGTGCCAGATGTGCAAGGTGGAGTGAAGGTGCCCGGGCAAGTTCATTTGTGCTAGAAATCACGCCATGTTCACCTGTCAGTTTCTAAAGGTGTGCAAGGTTCACGTGGAGGTCTATAGACATGGGGCAGGTGTGAACACGCACACACAGGCAGTGTGTGCACACTGGAGTGGCTGGATGTGTTCATGGGCATCCCTACACAGGCCAGTACTGGGGGGACAGCACATTCAGAGGAGGCTTGGTTGGCAGCCTCTTCTCTGATCAAGGCCATGCCCTTTGTCCTGATCCTGTCCCTGGTGGCCAAAGACAGCCTCCATGTCCCACCACAAAGCTGGAGTGGAAAGTCCATAGTAAAGATCCAAGTCAAAGAATAGGGAGGGAACAACACCAGAGAGCTAGGGTGGCTGCTCAAGGCAAGGTCGGGACCTCCTGGGCTCCTCCGACTCCTAGGATTTGCCTGTCTGGGCAGGGGAGCCCATCCCCATCTGCCCTGGAGATGAGACCCAGACAACACTGGCCTTCCCTCCCTGTCCTGGAGGCCCCTCTGTAAACAACCTCATGGGGTAAGGGCAAGGTGGTGGGATCTTCCCCATGCTTCTGCTTCTTCTTCTTCTTTTTTTTTTTTTTTAAATTTGCCCTGCTCCCAGCCCCTCCTGTCTCTGGCTGGAACTCCTCACCCAAGCCCCAAGGAACACAGTTTAAGAAGACAGGAAGCAGCTGTTCACAGCTTCCCACTGCGGTCTCGGAAGAAGCCCTCGGCAGCCTGAGCCTCACGGAAGGTGACGGTGACGGAGTTGGCGGTGATGTCAGTCACGGTCACTTCACTTGAGGGGAGCGTGGGTGTCCAGGGAGGGGGCCCATTGGCCAGGTCTGCTTCTGCTGCAGCCATGGGACAAAGACACAGATGAGGCATAGGTTGTCACTAAGTGATCAGTTAGTAGTATCAGCACACAGCCCATCCCGATATGCTTGAACCTGGATGCTTAGGAGGGCACACATGCACCTGCCCAGCTGGAGAGGGTGGGCAGGGGTCGGGCCCAAATTAGTCCTCATTGCTCCACAGCTGCACATGGCTTCCAGGCCCTCTGGACAAGGGTCAGGGCCTTTCAGGCTGAGGTCTCAGGATGACTGCCTTACCCTCCTCCTCAGGGGGCTGCTCCACAGGCTCCCAGTCGCCGGCGGCCTGCAGGACATCTGGGGCTGGTGACTCCTGCAGGGAGAGCTCCCGTGGATGGCTGTGACTCTCCAGGTGGGGCCCGCTGCGTGGCGGGAACTTCTTGTGTGAGAGCCGCAGGTACTTGTGGGCCTTGCGCGGCTTGCAGAGTGGGAAGGGCAGGGTGGGCACCAAGGGGCCCTTGTCCACCAGCTCAGCTGCCCCTGCCTTGACCACCCCCTTGGGGCTCCCGCTGCCGAGTGGGCGCATCAAAGAGAAGCAGAGCTCCTCCTTGCCCTTGGCTTTGTGGGAGCTCCGCAGGTCCATGCTGTACAGCCGCTGCAGGGGCAAGCCAGGGCGCGGCGGGTCAGCCTGCCCCTCCCACTGCGGCTCCACTGCTTACACGGTAACTCCCCCAGTGTACCCATCTGTTCATCCTGCACCTCCCCTGTCCACAGACCAGGGCCCACACCTGTCCCCACACTCGCTGAGCTCAGTCATCCCTTTTGGCCACAGCATGGGCCTTGCCTCCCCAGGGCTGAGGATCAGGGCTGCAGGGCTGCAAACTAACCCACAGGGGAAGGACCACAGCTCAGTGGCACAGCACTTGCCTACCACGTGCAAGGTCCTAGATTTGATTATCAGTGCTATGCAAAGTTGAAAAAATGAAACAACAACAACCACCCCACCCCCCCCGGATTTCTGAAGTAAACACACCGAGATTTTTTTGCCGTTTAGAGAGAGGTCTTTGTCTCCCAAGGAGCCTTGAAAGCTGAAACAGGATCTTCAGGGATGACAGAGGCAAAGGGAGAAGCTGCCTCTGCAGTCTGCAGGCAGTCCAGCCTGCAGGAGCAGAGTCCCACCTATTCTTTGCAGACAGCTGCCCTGGGCCCTCTCTAGGGGCTGGGTCTGTGCTGCCAACTCAACCTCGGTGAAGCAGAACATGTTGGAACTCTAGAATGGGGAGTCTGACATTCCAACTTGGAGTAAAATTTGCACAGCTCCAGAAGAAAAAAAAAATTCTTAGATCGAGACCAAATAAGATCCCATATTACTCAGGGACAGCATCTTTTGCCATATGCCATCAGAGGCCATCCCAGGACAAGTGGCCATCAAACGGGGCCATGAGATCACAAACCCTCAAGGTGAAGGAAGTGATGACACACGCCAGTCCCACACCACTCTGCCCTGCCTGCTGATTGCCAGGCACACATGGTATGGGTCACTGGCAGGATGAGAAGGCTGCGCAGGGGACTTCAAGGCTTTCCCTGAAGCCAGCCCTCAGGAGACTTCAGGGTTCACAAGCCATTTCAAGGGTAGTTCCTTTTGGTTCTTTGTTACCTCATCCTGAGCTCCAGTCAGAGCTGGATTCTACCCTGCCGAGTGACCCCAGGCAAGCCCAAGCCTCGCTGAGCAGTAAGCACTTCATCAGAGTGAAAAACAGAACACTAGCCTGAGTCCAACAGCACCACCTTCTGGACTTCTGCAGTGTGACTTCAGGCAAGGCCACAAACACACTGTGGCTTCTTCCTTGCTCTTTGATCACCCACTTGACTGGACACCACACAATAGGACTGTCAACCTCCAGCACCATGTCACTGGCACACGAGGAGTGACTGGGCAGTCAAACTTCTGTTCCAGCCCTCAAACATCCTGAAGGGATCCACAACCAGCTGAGGCAGCACCACCTTCCGGACAGACCCACAGAGACCGTATAACACAATAACAGTTTCGTTTTCCAGGTGCTGTGTTGGGGTAGTCTGTCTCACAGCAGTAGATGATACAACTACCATCTGACATAGAGAGGGAACATGTGTGCTGGGTGCATGTCTAGCAAAGGTCACTTTCTGCCCTAGGGCCAGTTTATGACAAACCCATGGGTCATCGCCACCTAAAGGCAAGCCATCCTGTCCACTAAAGAGAGCCTGAGGTAATCAGGCACCAGGAGTGGTTAAACACATACAAACTAAATGCCCAGATGCACCTTATGAAATCAAGAACACATCCTTTCACCTACCCTCTTATAGGTGAGAAAACTCAGACCTGCGCAGAATCACAGAACAGTGTCTGTGGCTTCACACTCTGTTGGTGGCTATACCAAGACTTAAGGCGCCTTGAGAATGAGGACAACACAGGCTTCACAGGCTTCTCCCCATCCAAAGAGAACATGGTTCTGTAAGTCTGCTATTCCAAGGTCATGTTCAGAATGCTAAGAGTATCCAGTCCTTGGATTTTTGCAGTCCTAGCCTGCCATGCTTCCTCAGCACATAGATCCTTGGTTATTTGGTGTTTAGAGATTTGGAGAGTCAAAAAGGCTCATCCACAACATTTCAAGTTCTCAAAGATTGGCTACATGACTACCTCAGGCCCACTAGAGTCCCCACCCCAGGCTGACCTTCCTGGCTCCAAATCTATGCGCAGCCTTTGCCCAACTCCTACTGAAACAAACCCACTGAGTGTCTTGCTGCACAGTACTCTGGCTGTGCTGGGTAAGCTGAGTAAATGACGAGAGGGCCAGTGCACATGCAGGTGGGGGGGGGGGTGAGGTGGTGGTCAGAGACAGTGGTTACCTGCAGCAGAAGCCGTTTGGGTTTCGGACCTCTCTTCCTATAGCCTGATGCTCGGTCTCTCTCCTCCCTGGGAGTGCAAAGAAGGTGACAGAAGAAAAAGAAACTGTGACATCTAAGAGACATCACCCCCTTCCATCATGTGCCTGGGTTGGGGGGACACAGGCCATTCCACACTCCTCCCCCTTGCTCTGTGGAGCCATAACAGACATTCAGCTTCCAGGGCTCAGCCTTTAGTCTGAAAACACACAGGTCCTTGCTACACTCCGGGGCCACACAGGGCTCTACCGCCTATGCCACTGAGGACCCTGTAAGAATGGAGCTCTGCTCTCTACTCTCACTCAGAACCAGAACGGCCTTGAGTGTCCTGGGCACTAAGAACTATAGCAAGCTCCTTGGCAAGGGGAGGTCGACACAGCCATTCTGTCTGGGATCTATTGGAACCTGCAGAGAAAGGGTAAGGAAGGAGAAAGACTGACCTGCAGGTGCCCTCCCAACAAAGACACCCTTAACCTGTATGACACAACTCGAGACTCCACATGGCAGTGCCAAAAACATGGGGACACCAGATCCTCCTGTCTGTCTCAATTCACTCCACACATTCTCCTGCATCCCTACCACGAAGACCTCACAGACACCAGGAAGGTGGAGCAGGTGGGAGCTCACTCATTCTCCATTAAGGTTGAATGAGACCTCCTCATCTGGGCTATCCATACACCAGTCAGCCCCAAATGTCTTAAACTGGTCTTGGTGGGAGCTACCACAGCCCTGCCGGGCGATAATCTCCTGATTCGAGGAATGGGCACCTGGCCTTGGCTCTCTCCACGGCTTTCTTTGCCACAATCTAAAACTTGGGCATGGTGCCACATGTCTACAATTCCTGCATTTGGGAGGTACTAGCCAGGACTATATAGGGAGACCCTGTCTCAGAAAACGGAGACAGTCCATAGGACTCTCTCAGTGACACAACCCTTTACACCAGTGCTTTTCAACCTTCCTAATGCTGCGACCCTTTAATACAGTTCCTCATGTACTGACCCGCAACCATAAAATTATTTCATTGTTACTTCATAACTGTAATTTTGTTATTGTTATAAATGATAATTTAAATAGCTGTGTTTTTCGACGGCCTTAGGCGATCCCTGTAAAATAGTTGTTTGACCCCCAAAGGGGTCATGACTCACACATTGAGAAACACTACTTTAGATCAGGATCTCACCAAGAAGCAGAGAGAACAGAGAGAAACTGTGGGACAGGAACACCATCGCTGACTTAAGAGCAATGATGAAGGGCTGGAGAAATGACTCAGTAGTTAAGAGCACTGGCTGCTCTTGTAGGAAACTCAGATTCAGTTCCCAGCACCCACATGGAAGCTCACAGAATGTTTGATATACCAGTTCCAGGGGGAATCTGACACCCTCTTCTGGTCTGCAGAAGTACTGCATGCACATAGTGTGTGTGTGTGTGTCTGTGTACATACACACACACACTCAGGCATTCACACATACACATAAAATCAAATAAATATTAAAAAGAACAAGTCTTGTAAAAACAAACAAAAAAACAAAACGAAACAAAAAGGAACAGTGATGACACATCCTTTGAATCTTTGAATGTGCTTCCAGAAGCCTTTGGGGAGAAGCAATAGTGTAGCAATGAGGGACTGATCAGATCATGCCCTCAATGTCCCAGCTTCTATAGGCAAAGCTCCTGGACAAGCCCCCTAACTGCTCAGGGGGTTTAGATTCCTCATTCCAATATCAGCCTCATTCCTATGTCAAGAAATTACCATAGGAATCAAATAACAAAAACAATTGTCAGTATGCTGGGTGGTGGTGGTGGTGCATGACTCTAATCCCAGAACTTGGGAGGCAGAGACAGGCTGATCTCCCAGTTTGAGGCCAGCCTGGTCTACAGAGTGAGTTCCAGGACAGCCAGGACTATTAAATAGAGAAACTCTGTCTTGAAAAACTAAAAACAAACAAACAAACAAAACAGTTGTGAGAACCAGACACAGTAGCACACAGACTAAGTCCAGCAAGTAGAAGAAAGAAGAGGGTGAAGCAGCCACAAGTCCAGGTAGGCCAGGGCTAGCGTGAACTCTGTGTAAACACAGGCATGGCGGGGGAAGAGAACCAATGCAGGTCATCATTGAACCTCACACACGCACTGTGGCACTCAGGTGCCCCCACCAAATGTAGTTTAAAAATGTCAACAGGTGTGCCACACTCTGGCCCAGGTGGGAGCAGGGAAGCCATGGGAAGGTGGGATCATGACTGGAGGTCTAAGGTCAAGCCGGAAGCCTTCCTCACATCCCTGGCTTTGCTTGGCCTCATCAGCCTTCCTTCTTTGACAGGGAGGGTCAGATGCTGCCATTTCCACATGGGATACATCTGTCAATGCTTCTGAATGAATCCTCAGCCTGGGACCAGGAAGCCACAGGAGGGCAAAGCTGGCAGATAGGGAGGATACAGGAACAGGTTTTAGATGCCCACCACCTTTCCCTGGCACGCACAGCCCCAACCACCCGGCCCTCTTGCCCAGGGCTAAGCCACTGGTTGGAGCAAGGCTCAGCCCAGGCCCAGAACAAGCAGGGCCCTTACTTCTCCTCGTAGGCCATGACAAGGCGGGGGTCCAGGATGTGCTCCTCTGGCTCCCATGTGCTGTACCTGGGGAGAAAAACAAAAGATCAGAGCTGCTCAGCCACCACAGTGTCCCAGAGGTGCAGCTGTGCTCTGTGCCAGCCTACCACATAGCCTTGGCCTGGCCTGTGCAGTTATGAGAGCCTTAGCCACAACTCCATCCTACTGCAGACTCCAACTAGATCTCTCATCCTCCTGAAGCTTAAGGATGCCTTTGGCCCTCATCCCACAGCCTGGCAGGGGCTCCGGGGCTAGCCTATTTGGGTTCAAATCCCAGCTCTGACCCTCGCTGACTGTGTAACCTTGAGCTAATACTCAGCAGCCCTGTGCTTCTGCGTCCCTCCTTGTGAAGAACGCAAGGACTGACCAGAGCTCTCAGGGCTGTTCACAGTAGTGGCTGGCTGAGAGAAAGGGTTTTGCTATTTGTGTTTTTTATGTTGCTTGGCCCCAGCTCCAGCTGCAGCCATCAAGCAAGGCCTGCAGCCCCTTCAGCCCCTTCTCTCTGAGCCTGGCCCACAACAGGTGTCTGGTAAACGTCTAGTGATGACTGATATCTTTTTTCTTTCCCCCAGAGACAGGTTTCTCAGTAGCTTTGGAGCTTGTCCTTGAACTTGCGCTACAGACGAGACTGGCCTCAAACTCAGAGATCCGCCTGTCTCTGTCTCCCAAGTGCTGGGATTAAAGGCATGTGCTACCACCACTGCCTGGCAATGACCAATATCTTAAAAGAACAAAAAATAAAATTCTAAAGCAGTAAGTGGGAATACAAGTAGAAAAATCGCTGGGCAGTGGTGGCACATGCCTTTAATCCCAGCACTCAGGAGGTAGAGGCAGGAGGATCTCTGTGAGTTTGAGGCCAGCCTGGTCTACAGAGTGAGTGCCAGGATAGGCTCCCAAGCTACCTACATAGAGAAACCCTGTCTCGAAAAAACAAAAACAAAAAATAGATAGATAGATAGATAATGCCTGGGTGTGCTGGTCTACATACTGAATTCCAGGTCAGCTAGAACTACATGGTGGACCCAATCATAATTAAAAAAAAAAAAAAAAAAAAAAAAAAAACAAGCCGGGCGGTGGTGGCGCACGCCTTTAATCCCAGCACTTGGGAGGCAGAGGCAGGCGGATCTCTGGGAGTTCGAGACCAGCCTGGTCTACAAGAGCTAGTTCCAGGACAGGCTCCAAAACCACAGAGAAACCCTGTCTCGAAAAACCAAAAAAAAAAAAAAAACAACAACAACAACAATAACAACAAAAATGTGGCGCTCAAACATACCGCTCCTGGGGCATGCACTCAAAAGACTACTGCAGAGATACTTGTTCTTCTGCGTTCTTTCTGCTCTCTTCATCGTGGCTAGGAAATTAAGTCAGTCTAGATGCTCATCAGGTAATAACCAGATAGTGAAATGTGTCACCCATATGCAAGGGAACGTTATTCAAATGTAAAGAAAAAAATAAAACACAGAATTCACAGGAAAATAGATCGAAGTGGAAAATACACAAAATGAAGTAGTCCAGGCCCAAAAAAAAAAAGCCTAGCTTCAGATTTTCAGATTTGTGTTAATTTGCAGTGCCTGTGGAGGTCAGGAAACCAGAAAGATCCCAGGAGACAGAAGGAAAGAAGCTTTGAAGCAGGAACAGGGGAGCAGAATGCCGGGGTGGAAAAAGGCGTAAGTGGGGATGAGAGCAAGAGACGGGGGAGAGTTCACCAAAACTATGGATGTATGAAAAGTCAGTGGAAAACCCACCAATCTGTAAGCTAGTTTTTAAAATATAGAGGTTGGAGATGGCTCAGCAGCTAAGAGCACAAGCTGATCTCGCAAAAAGCAGGATTTCAGCCGGGCGATGGTGGCGCACGCCTTTAATCCCAGCACTCGGGAGGCAGAGGCAGGCAGATCTCTGTGAGTTCGAGACCAGCCTGGTCTACAGAGCTAGTTCCAGGGTAGGCTCCAAAGCCACAGAGAAACCCTGTCTCGAAAAAGAAAAAAAAAAAAAAAAAAAAAAGCAGGATTTCAGATCCCAACTCCTAGGTCAGATGTTCATTACTGCTTGTCCCGCTATCTCCTAGGGGCTAGTGCCCTCTCCTGGGCTCTCTGGGCACTTGCACTCATGTGTACATAACCAAACACATGCAGAACCACTACCACCACCACCACTACTACTAAAAACACACAGACATATGTGTTTTTTAAAGAGGTTAAGGGTTGGTAATATGCTGCCCAGCTTGACAATCTGAGTTTGATCCCTGGTATTTCCCAGGTAGACAGAGAGAACCAAATTGTACTCTAACAACCACAGTGAGACTCAAATGTACCTACACACACACACACACACACACACACACACATTATTTTTAAAAACATGATCATGAATGGTGGTATCCTATGTGAGTGAATGCTGCTGCCTCCAGAAAGCACAGGTTATTAAATGAAAATCTCAGTGCCAGGCATGAGATGCTGCCCTATGAGTTGTTTGACAAGAAGGCCTGAGGGCCCAAAACAAAAGCATTTGTCATTGCTCTTGGTTGCCCACCAAAATTAGGTAGTAGGACCTTGATGTTATAGACACCGCATATTTTTATTATACGACATAGATAATCAAGCTAAAACTGACCTGGGAGTTTCTTATTAGTTTTCATAGTTCTGAAAGATTCCAGGCTACTTGGGAGAAAGCCACTGATAGTCTGACCCAGAGATGATCCTCGCTTGCTCTAATACTGACTGGCTAAGCAGGATGCTACCAACAGTGCAACAGAGGTGTAAATGGTAAACAACCGACTGCTTTCCGAATTGATTGGAGGCCAACTCCGCAGGAGAAAATTTATGCTCAGGGCTGTTAACCTGGTTATCATAGCTCCTAGGAGGGAACCTATCTGCTGTTCTGCTAAAGGGACATGCTGTCAAACTGCCTTCTAAGTATTTGTTTAAACCCGTAGATCTGTGCTGCTCCCAATCTTAGAGAAGAAGCTTTTTGCAGTAGGCAGAATTATTGCAGACTCAAAAATGGTCAAAGTGCAGTCAGGTATGGTGGTGCACACCTTTAGTCCCAGCACTCGGGAGGTAGAGGCAGATGGCTCTCTGTGAGTTTGAGGCCAGCCTGGTCTCCAGAGCGAGTTCCGGACAGCCAGAGCTGTTATACAGAGAAGTGTTGTGGAATAGAGTATTTCTTTAAGTGTGTAAAGATGTGCTGTTCCACCTTGCCTGCCTAGGGCACCTGAATGGTCTAATAAACAGGTGAAGGGCAGAGAGATACGGGGAGCCAGGCAGACATGGAGACCGCAGGTAAACAGGATGAGCAGCAGGTGGATGAGGTAAATGAGCCTCGGGGTAGCACACAGATTAACAGAAGTGGGCTGTTATAAAACCTAGCGAGAAACAAGCCTAAGCTAAAGGCTGAGCATTCATAATTACCAAGTCTGTGTCATGATCTCGGGGCTGACAGTCCAAAAAAGCCTGCTACAAAGAAACTTTGTCTTGAGAAAAAACAAACAAGAAAACAGAACAAAAGGAAAATGTTGAAGTGCTGAGAATAAGTTAAATTTTGAGCGTTCAGCCTTAAACAGGACATCTATACTAGCCCTCCCCCACAAACCTCAGGAAACATCACAGAAGAGCAGGCAGAGGATAAGGAATGCTGTAAGATGCTATTCTGAACAGCACATGGCTACCACACTCCTGAACGCACAGGAGCTGTGGTTATTTGCACAAAATGGAGGCTGTCGACGTTTCAGTATAGATGAGGACAACACACATGAACTACGCCCCTAGTCCACAGCTGCTGGGAAAGACGCCATTTTTCTTCAGAGGTGTGGCTACTGGGAAGACACCTATAACCCAGTAAATAACCCCAAATCCATCTATAAGCAAGCAACCACAATTAAACTCAGTGACTATAAATACGTGTGTGCACAAGCACGCACACCCACACACGAACATGTTGGGAAGAAAGGTTCCAGGAAAGAAGATGAAAGGGACGTTAAAGTCAGGAGCACACCTTTAGTTCCAGCACTCCCAAGGCAGAGGCAGGATTTCTGAGTCCTGGAACTCCCTCTGTAGACCAGGCTGGCCTCCACTCATAAGATCCGCCTGCCTCTGCCTCCCTAGTGCTGGGATTAATGTCGTGCACTACCATGCCCAGTGATATGTATTTTTTTAAAAATTAAACCATGACCATGTTCTGTGATTCAGGCCAAGGGCATCCTGGGGAAAGTGACAACTGCCTGAGAGGTCTCATGAGCAGGGAGAAAGGAGGCAGAGACATCCTAAGAGCTAAAACCTTTCTCTTAAGTCTCAGGGACACTGGACCAGGAAGAGGGGCAAGTGGCCAGACACAGAACTCTTCCTTCCTTCCTTCTTGTTTTCAGCTGACCAGTGGATCTTGGGCAGCCTCCAGAGGTTCGTCAGCCCCTGTGTGCACTCCTCTCCCTGTCTGGCAGCCATCTCCCAATCATCCTTAAGAACCAGGTTCTGGTGGATTCCTGGCCCAACTGGTCCTTGCTAAGCAGGACCAATTCAACTATGAATGCACCCAGCTCAACTCAGCACCAGGTGTTCTAAGAAAGCTGCTGAACTGATCCCCACCAGGGCAGGTGGAACTCAAGTCTTCTGCCCTCCAGCTCCTATCAGCCCACTCCTTACTGCTGCAGCTACTGTGGGATTCCCACCCTTCTCTGCACTCAGTTCCTTCATCTAAAGAACAATTGCCTCCACTGGCTGTCACGAATGCAACAGTCTACTCTGAGGAATATTTCACCGAGGTAGGTTCTTAAATAATCACTCCAGTTTACAGATGAAAACAGGAGGCACAGAGATTAAGCACCTCGCCCAAGGTCACCTCCTTGGGCTCTCCCACAAGCTGGAGCATCCCTTGGGGGAGGGTCACTGCCTATTATCTAGCCTCTCTTAGCCATGAAACAACAGAAAAGGGCAGTCAGAGTCCTAGAACCAATTCCCAAGGCAGAGAAGGGAGCAGCAGGAGGGATGGAGGTGGGAGGACGGCTAATCCCTTCCACCTCAAGGCAAAGCGAAGCAGCGGGTCTTGCAGAAGGGTTCAAAACTGGCAGCAAAGCGCCGCTGTAAGCATCTGGCGCGCGCTCGCGCACTCAAGCACAGGGTGAGGGTGAGAGCCCCAGCACTGGAAACCTACATGGGCGGGCACGCCTGCCGGCTGGAGATAAACACGACCACGTGACCTTAGTCCCGCCCCACCGCCCGGTAAACAAGCTCCGCCGCCGCACCCCGGCCCCCGCTCCTCTGCAGTCCCCGCGAGCTGGGGTCAGGCGATGGGGTGGGGCGCAGCACCCCAAGCAGGACAGGTCGCCGGGCCGTAGCCTGCCGTTCCAGGGTGGGGGAGGGGCCTGCTGAGCAGTACGCAGAAACCGGGCGAGCTGGGGCCACGCGGAGCCAGGCCAGCAGCAGCTCCAGGACTCCAGTTTCAACCGCCCCAACTGCTGAGCCTCATTCTAAACCGGGTTTCCCCATAATCCCTTAGCTTTGAGTTGGGGAGAAGATCCGATGTTTTAAACCACATGACGCACATACTTATAAAATCCAAGAAAATTAAACCAGCTTCAGAAGCCTGGAGTTGCAGGCATGGCTGCCAGGGCTAAACAAGGCTTCTTGGCCTAGAGAGGAGGCACCCTGCTCTGTACCTGGCTGCCAGGATGCGTTAGTGATTCCTAGCAGGTTTCATTATACATGAGGAAATGGAGGCACAGCCTGTCAATCATAACCAAAGTTCCTAAGGAGGCATGATGGGCTGACACTAGAAAAGCTAGCAGCAAGACACCCCTGGGCCGCTTTAGTGGCGCTGGCCACATATTCCAGGGGTAGATCAGAATCTCAGAAGAGGACTCTCCATCTGTAAAAGTGGGTGATGCCTGGCTTTTACTGGGGCTCTTGCACTGGCACCTTGGTAAATGACGTCATTACTGAAGCTCCAAGGAGCGTCTTTTTGAAAAGATGGAGCTATATGCTTGGGGAGTAGCAGGGTGCTGGGCAAACAGGTAAAATGGAGTACCCAAGAGTCTTCGAGTCAAACAGAGTACCTGATGCCCCCGGAAGATCCAAGAGTTCCCTTCTATTACATTACTGGAGGGGGGGCGTTATTTGCCTTTTGCTGGGGGAAAAATGGACAGGAACAAAATGGCTGCGGTGGCCTGGCAAAGGTACCTTCCTGTCACTATTATACTAAGTAGTTCCCTACCTAGCCATGAGGAGGACCCAAGCCAGACAACACCCACTCCCCACACTTTCTCAGCCTCTGCAAAGCAGCTGGACCTGACCCACCCAGGCAGCAGGCATCATATGAAATGGGGATTATGAGGTGGAGTTAGCAGTCATGTTCCTGTCATAACCTCAGTTTCGCCATCTGAAAAGACTATATTATTCTGAGCAAACTTAAGCTCCTATTTGGAATGAAATCTTTCCTTCCAACAAAAAACGCAGCCTACAGGCCCACTCAGCTGACCCTGTACTTTTAGTTTAACTCTGAGAACATTGGTTCTGTGAGAGGCTTTGGGGTTCAGTATGAGGAGAGCAGCGAGTAGAGTCTGAGGAGTTGCCCAAGGGCTCCTAAGTGCCCACTGGGCAGCCAGGCCTGAAATCTAGAAGCAAAGAGAGAAGGCATCACCCTAGGTGATCTAGCCAAATGACTTTGGGAAGAGACAGGAGAGCTATCAAGGCCCTTGCTCCCCTTCTCCTCAGGGAAGCTGTGGATGTGGTCAGCTGCCTGCGGACAGCAAACGGAGCCCTGTTCCAGCCACTTGCTGTGCCCCTTTTCCTGCATTCCCTCTGCCACTGTTCCCAGGCCAGATGACCACTAGGGACCAGTGAGGGGAAGACAAATGTGTTATCCGCATGTTATCACCAGCACACCTGGATGCCCGTGGTCCACTCTGAACCAATGCCCAGGCCTTTCACCCTGCCAGGCTAAGCAGCCTGTAAGAGAAGTGAAGTCCTAGGCCACTGAACCTACTTCGTAGAGGGGAACACTGGAGGCACTTGGGTACTGACTTCCCCTCTTCCCACCATCCCTCCATAATACCCCAGGACCGAATCACAGGTCAGCCCTTTCCCACTTCCACGCCCCCCCCCCCCCCCAACACACACACAAGAGGAGAAAGTTCCAGGGCTGTCAGAGCCATCAGGAGAGCAGAGGGGGTTTCCAGAAGCCAGGCTCTAGGAGGCAGGGCAGAGCGGTCACAGACCAGTAGAGAGGTCCTACATGTAGCTTGTTTCCCAACCCCAACAACTCTTTGGTTAGTGAGAAGGTTCCTCATCAGGCTCCCACACCAGAGGTTCATCTGCCATACTAGGTATCTTCCCTAACTCTCTACCCCACAACGCCAGGAAAGCATATTAGAAGACAGAGGAGAGGCCTGAAAATGGTCAGGCTTAGTTCAAGTCCCAGTTCTGCCTCCCCTTGCTGTGTGACCTAAGGCAAGCTGCTTCTGGTCTCTGACTGTTTCCTCAGCTGAAAAGCTCAGAATCACATCTATTTAAAAAGAATGCTTGGGAACTTACCCTGTAGACAAGAGAGTGCCATCCAAATACAAGAAGACCCAGGTTCTGCCCCCGCCCCCCCAGCACTGACTGGGGATCCACCGCCAAGATTCCCATCTGACCTAGCACTGTAATTGCTCCACATGGGACCCCCTTCACTGGCCAGCAGTCGTTGAGGAAGCCAAGGTGCTGGGTCTTAACTCCCATGGCCAGAAGAAAGGGGGCAGGATGAGGGGACAAGCAGGACACCCTCTAGCAGAGGGGACCGGAGGGGTCCCCAAAAGCTGATGATTTAGTCAGGACTTGCTATTCAGTCATAAAAGCAACAGGGGCTGAAGCCAGCACGGGGAGAGGACGACAGGTAGGGGACACACACATGAGCCTTACTTGGGGGGCCATCCTTTCCACTTCACCAGATACTCGACTTTGCCCTGGGAAAAGAAAAATGGAGACAGTGAGATACACACCCCTACAACCCTGCAGGACAGTGAAGGCCAAGAGACCCTCAGTGGCAGGTATAGTATCACCAACCTATGAACGGCAAGGCTCCCTCAACCCAAGGGACAACTCCCCCAAACTCTGGCTACTATATGACCATCCCATAGCCCTCCCTGCTGCAGCATGGAAGGTACATCTGGTCCCAAACATCCCTGGAACCCGAGACGGGGTCATGTCACAGAGGGAAACCGAGAGCACATGGAAACATGTATGTATAGCCACGCACAGCAGCTCAAGTTCCAAGCTGAGACCAGGATCCCTAGCTCTCCTCTCTGGGAGAAGCTGCTTACACCATTGAAAGGTGGCTGTCTGTCCGTCCCTTGTTAGAAACTGGAGTCTGAAGGAAAGGGACCTTAACTGTCCACCCCAGCCCCATGCACTGGGTGAAGCATCTCCATACCACGGCTCTGAGGTTAATCTGTAGCACCTTGCAAAGCTTTCCTCCCTAGCACCACACAGTGGACAGTTCTTTATGAAAAAGCACCTAGTCTGCCAGAGGCATCAGTATTGACTTCCTCGTTCATCCTGCCTGTATCTGTGCTCTTTGCCAGAACGCCAGCACTGAGAGAAACAAGGGAGCCTCGGGCTCAGAGTGGTACCTGGAACATCCTGCAGCCTCAGTTTAGGTTTGGAGAGCTGAGCTGAACGAATGAAGGGTTCCTTCCCTCTCTGACCTACCCCTGTGCCCTGTCGGAGGACATGATAGCTATACCCGCTTCAGTCTAGTACCCTGGGCAGGCACTCTAACCAACAGTCACAGCCCCACGCCACCTACTCCGGGCCCACCCAAAGCCCTGCAGAGGATCACACAGCAGGTGCTATCCAGCCCCACACTTCAGTCAAGCGGGAGAATGTGGCTGCCAGGAGCCTCTCAAGGAGTTGCAGGGAGAAAACGGAAAGGGGACCCTCGGCAGACCCAAGAGAAGAACTTTTCTTTCCCAAGGATATGCCCAGATCCAAGTTCACTCTGGTACGAGCCCCTCGGCGGGCACGTGCACAAAGAGCGTAGACTTGAGGTGCGGACCGGAAGCTCCGGGCAGAGGTGTGTGGTCCTGAGCGCGGCAGAACCGCCTCCTTAAATCTCAGGGTGTGAGTGGAAGGCCTTGGCAGAGGGGGGCGGAGCTTCGAGGATGCCCCAACAACAGTGGCCCGGGCTGCGGAGCGGCACCCGGCTCGTCGGTGGGGGAGGGGAGGATTGGGGAAGGAGAAGAAAGGTGTGCCCGGGCTGGGGGTGGGGGGGGGTTGGGATCGGGAAGGTCAAAGTCCAACAGGAAAACTTCATAGGCCAGAGGAGACTTTCCCAAAGCTCTGCTGCCAACTTCAAAGGGCTTGGTACTAAAACTCCGGAGGGCCGAGTTCGAGACTCACTTGCTCTAACGCACTAGCGAGTTGCTTCCTCAACTTGAGCGTCAGTCTCCTCGAAACTGAGCGTAAAGGGAATGAGGCGGAATGGAGTTCAGAATCTCCAGTCCCGTCCTCATCTCCATCCCACACGGCCTCAGAAGCACCAGCATCTCAGGGCAGCAACTTTAACTCTACTGGCCCGCCACAGTGGCGGGGAAAGTGAGGGACGGGGCTGTGAGGCCGGCCCAGCAGCGCCGGGTCCCCAGGTGTCCCCCGCACCACTTTCCGCTCTGCCCGACCTGGAGGGGGCGGTGCTGGGGAGCAGGAGGCGACCTCGCCGCGTCGCGGGAGCCGCCCCCGAACAGCCTCACCTTCCGCACGCGCTTCTTCCGGATGCTCTCCACCGCAAACACCTGCTCGCCTATGGCTGACAGCTCCATGCGGGGCGGCGGGCGACGGGCCGGGGGCCGGGCCGGGTCGGGGGTGGAGCTGCGGGGCCGCGGCTGCTGCGCGCGATGCTCGGGCTGGCGGGGACCCCGTCAGGCTCTGTCCGGCGCGCACGCGCACGCGCGCACACCCCCTAGCGCTCCCTCACGCCGCCGACGTTCCATTTTTGAACCTGCGCAACGTTTTCCTCAGCGCCGGCGAGCGGGTGCGCGCGCGCGGGCGGGCCTCGGAGAGAGCCCGGAGGGTCAGCTCCGCCCCTCGCTGCCGGGACCCCGCCCCTCGCCGCGGGGACCCCGCCCCTCTCCCTAACCCCGCCTGCTAGCCAAGTTGGGCGGCTGGTAGCGCGTCTGATGCTCCCGACTTGTTTGGAGCGTGGGGTGTGAGCGCAGCCGTCTGCGGCGCACCCCGTCTCTCTCCTCTGCTTCTGAGCTGGCTGTGATTATTTTCCTGGAATCCTCCCAATGATTCGGAAGGTCCAAAATGGTGTGACTCTGAAGCCCGGAGTAGCAGGCCTGTAATCTCAACATTGGGCAGCTGAGGCAGAATGATCAGGAAGGAGTTCGTGGCCAGACTGCACTACATAAGACCCTGTCTCAAATAAATATATTAAGACAGGGGTTGGAGAGATGGCGTTGTGTTTAAGAGCAGTTGCTGCTCTTTTCAGAGGACCTGGGTTTAGTTCCCAACACTCGCATTATGGTTCACAACCGTGATTCCAGGGAATTCACTGCTATCCTCTGATCCACGTGGCTCGTACGTGGTAAGCAGGCAACCACTCATACACTATTTATTTTAAAAAATCATTTTAAGACAGAAGGTAGAAGCTCACTCTTTAATCCCAGTACTGAGGCGGCAGGGTCGGGCGGATCTCTTGTGTTCGAGGGCTATGGGGGGGGGGGGGGGAGACCCTGTCTCAAAGAATAAAATAAAATGCAAACGAAATTTTAAAGAATGGTGTGAGGCCGTGTTATGCAGATAGGAAACAGGCAGAATAAGCCGGTCATTTGTTTCCCTTCCCACAAAAGAGACCAGGCCGGGTGAGGACCGCGGCGCGGTAGGAGGGGCGGACAGCAAAGGTTTCCCACCCGGAGTGCGCAGTCCCGGCGGGCCTGAAGATGCCTCTGCGCCCACCCCGCCATGCTTCCACCCATCAGCCTTTCCCCAGTCCTAGCCGGTGGTGGAGAAAGCACGGGCACACACGTGAGCGCGCTACCCACAGGGCCCAGGCTAGCAGTAACAAGTCATCTCAGGTGGAGACCCCTTTTTTATGGCAGCCGACCCAGCCACGGACTAGACTCCCTAGGCCTTCCTCCACCTCCTTGGTTTTCTGCACTTCTGTCGTGAGCAACGAACGAACTCCTAATCCCCGACTCAGCCCTAAGGCTTTCTCTACAGTGGAGATGAGGTAGGAGTCGCCCCCACTCCGCCCGCTTCCTCCTCATTCCTGCCTCTCCGACCTCCCGGAGTTGATTTAGGGCCGCCCCTCAACATCACCACCCCCACACACCCCGGATTCTTAACTACCTCCTCTCGCTGCGTCCCCCTCCCCCATCCCTGTGACCCAATGGGCTTTCTACCACCAAACCCGACCGAGGCACCCAGTGCTTAGATACATCCCGTAGTTCCCTATTCTGAAACTCTAAACACCGAAGTCCGGCGAAGACACAAAAGAGAAAACTAGATTGGCACATGAGTTTTTACCAAGCGCAAAGGAAGCCTTAAGGCAGGGGACGTCAAGACCCTGTCCCGAGAGAAAATTACCATCATCGAGAACTGTATATTCCGTGGAAATACCTGCTAAGAACAACGGTACAATAAAGACATTTTGCAAAGACAGACACTAGGAATCTGACCATCCCTGAGGGGAATTCCAAACGAGAAACTGGGGATCCGGGGCGGGGGAGGGGGGTGAGACCGGGAAGAGGTCTGATTCAATGACGGAGAGACAATGGTTTCCAAAGCAGAAACGCGTTTTCCAGAAAAAAGCAGACGGGAAATTAACAATAGCCATGGGTAACTAGGGCGACTGACGTTCAAGTGTACTAAGGTCCTTACACATCCCGGTGCAAAATGAAGAAGGGATAAGTTGAGAATGCGCGTTGCCAAGGTTAGGGTAAACACCAGACGCGTGCAAACGCTGAGGACCGCGCTGTGCACAAGAGTAGAGGGAATAGCCGAGGAAAGCAACCAAGCAAGAAGCGAGAAAGATGAGCAGATAATAGAAATACGAATGTCCTGTGACTTAATAAAATTTAGTGGACTAACACTGTGGTCCTTAAAGTCGGGCTACTTAAAATCCCAGCAGAGTAATTTACACGAAATAACTACAAGGGGTGTTTGTGAAACAAGGATAATAAATGGACAGAGAGTAGACAGCAAGCAAATGCAAAGGGAAAGGGGCCGGCGCAGCTATTTAAATCAGAGGAAAGATCCATTACAAAGACAAAGGAAGCCCCTTCACACTGAAGGGCCCACTTTGCCCCGGAGAATGGTTTCAAATTGGCATGCAAAACACCAGAGTTGAAAGTCCAAAAAACAGAAGGAAGATACTCCCAAAAAAACAAAACAGAGGAATCCACAAATTCTACGGGGAGGGTTGTCCCCCCCCCCCTCAGTGGACTAGTGGGAAAATACTTAGTAAGATACAAGAAGATACTTAGTAAGACACAGGAAAATACTTAGTAAGATACAGGAAGGAGATTTGTTTTGTTTTGTTTTGTTTTTTTGGTTTTTTTGTTTGTTGTTTTTTCGAGACAGGGTTTCTCTGTGGCTTTGGAGCCTGTCCTGGAACTAGCTCTCTAGACCAGGCTGATCTCAAACTCACAGAGATCCGCCTACCTCTGCCTCCCGAGTGCTGGGATTAAAGGCGTGCGCCACCATCGCCCGGCTCAGGAAGGAGATTTGAATCCAATTCCTACACTTGCCTGACGGATTGACTATTCAAGAGCACAGAGTCAACACCAAAAAGCAGATTCTTTTTAATATAAAAGGAATATTTACCAAACCATTTCACCTCAAGAAAATTTCAACACATAAAATATACAATAAGGTGAAGCAAAAAGCCAAAAGGGCTGGCAAGACCAGTGGCCTGAGTGCTATCTCTGGAACCCGGGTGGAAATAGAAAGCCAGAAGTGACTTTACAGTTTTCTGTGACCGCCACACATGTGCTGCGGTACACGCACCTCCATATATATGTAATATATAGGGCATAGACGCAATAAGAAGTTAAATTCAAAACCTTCATAAAGAGATAACATCAAAAGCCCCAAATACTTTGAAGTTAACAAAGATGTTTCTAACTAATGGATCAAAAAATCATAATGGAAATGATACAATATTTTAACTGATTGAGAATGAAAATGTTACATACTTTTAAATCCTGAGAAACCAGGCACTCAATGGTGCTTCAAGTGAGGCAGAAGGATCAAGAATTCCAGGGTAGAAGCTGGAGAGAAGGCTCAGCAGTTAAGAACATCAGGTGCTCTTCCAGAGCCGAAGACTGGGGTTCAGTTCCCACCAAGGACAAGACAGCTCGGAGCTGTCAATACATCAGTCCCAGGGCCTCGAGAGCACTAAAGTACATGGTACACAGACATACAGACAAGCCTACCTCAAAGTTGGGCCGTCCTGGAACTCATTCTATGGACCAGGCTGGACTCAAACTCAGAGATGTGCCTGCCTCTGCCTCCCAAGTGCTGAGATTTTTTTTTTCTTTTAGAAAAGACTAACAGTGCTGCTAGCCCAAAATAACCAAGAAAAAAGAGAGAGAATGCAATTAGCTAACACCGGGGTGAAAAGCAAAGAATCTGCAGTGTTGGAAAAAGGAAAGTGAAGAGATACAGGGAGATTGTGACTGATTTTATCACGGTCCCCGGAAATCTAAACTGCTCTGGCAAATTCCTAGGAAAAATGTCTTTCCCTGAAAAGCATGCAGGTGAAGAATAACGCTCCATGAGCCTCTTCCCTGGTGGCCAGTGCTTCAGTGCGGAATGAGGCAGTTGCTGGCCTCCAGACTCTCTGGACTACAGGCAGGCACCCCCAAGCCCAGAATATGTGCTTAAAATCAAAGTAAATTAGGACTACAAGGAAATGACTTGTCCCCATGAAAGTATCTACAAAAAAAAAAGAAAGAAAGAAAAAAAGAAGAAAGAATAATCTACAGCAAATTTCCTCTTTACTGATGAACACTGAAGGCTGGAGACGATGGCCGGGTGAGTTCAGGGCAACTCCCATTTCCATTGCACCAGATCGGAAGAGCAAACAAACCCCAGCTCCTGGTCAAGAAAACTGGTCTTCCTCCGACCAGCTCCCGTGAAGGCTTACAATTCCAGTTGGGCTGGTTCAAACACTTTGACTAAAGGACCACCCCTAGGAAGGCGGGCTCATCCTAGGTCATGCCAAAGAGACCCATCCTGAGTGTAGCATCTCACAGACTGTAGCCACATAAGGGTCTCCAGTCGACCTGAATTTCTCATTTGAGTAAATTTTCCCTTTTTTTTTTTTTTTTTTTTATTAAGCTATCTTTTCGAAGCATGCTTTCCTTAACCCTTTCTTCCCCAGCATGTTGGGCTTCCTTATAGCTTCTTCCTAAAGTTTCTCTCCCCACCTGGTCGCTGTCTGTCAGTCACACATCTGACCATGTTGGCTTGAATGGCATGGCCTTTTCCTTTCTCTCCTCCACCTGGACAGCTACTGAGGTTTACAGCTTGCTGACAGTTTTTCTAAAACTCTAATAAAACTGACCTTGTGCTATCCTTTGAGCCTACTCTTAAATTCTTTTATTAATGCAACCAAGAACCCCAAGAAGGGACCTCATTTGTCACTGTATCAGTAATAGCTTGAGTGGGTAACCACTGGCCACAGTGACAATGGGGCACGTGAGAAGCGTGTACTCAAGACAGATATAATAGTAAAAAGAAATAGAAATTTCACAGACAGGTTGGAGAGATGGCTCAGTGGTTAAGAGCACTGCCTGCTCTTCCAAAGGTCCTGAGTTCAATTCCCCGCAACCACATGGTGGCTCACAACCATCTGTAATGAGGTCTGGTGCCCTCTTCTGGCCTGCAGGGATACACACAGATAGAATATTGTCTACATAAATAAATAAATAAATAAATAAATAAATAAATAAAAAAAAAAAGAAATTTCACAGACAGTACCCAGCTAGTCATGTGCACATCTAATTCAGAAGACAGGCGGTCAGATCTCTGGGAGT